AAAAGCAAGCTGATTATGATCATGAAGAGATGGATTTAAAATCGCATGGTTCGACGATCAAAATTTTGAGTTGTTGCTTAAGAGTTATGATAGATTTCTTAGGAATAGATAACAATATAGTTTTCATGTGTATTTGCATTTTAAGGAAAAAAAAAATCCACAATTTTATAAATAAAAAGAAATTTTTGGTTTTATTTTATTTTAAGTTTCCTTACAATGGCATTTGTGAAAATTGTTGCTTATATGTTTTCCATTGATAGCAATATTGGAAAATAGATTTAATTCTTTCGTTTGTGGTGGTGTCATAATTTACCAAATAAGAAAAGATTCTCATCACCCTAGTTTCAATTGGATAGAAACTTGGAATCATGCAAGTTGTATTGTGTGATGAATGAGAACCTTTGGAAATTAAGACTAATTCCTTGTTCACATGTATACGTGAGTTAATTGAAGGACTAGGGGATCGGGTACACTTGGTTGTGTGCTGGTCAAGTCCACCACAAAGAACGTTAAGACTACTTGTTATGATTTACTAAAGTTTAGTAAATATGGTTACACTTACAAGATTAAGTGTAATTCTGAATCGTTGAAAAAGTTTCAATGTATAGAAGAACGAATAAGAACAATCAAATTAGGTGAATCATACTTTGTTCCAAAATCGAGTCTTAGAATAACACTCCAAGATCGAGCATTGAGTTACATAATCTTAAGAAAGGTTTATAACACTTGTCAAATGTAGAGTAAAATGTTTTCTTACTCTTGTACATTTGAAATTGGTAAGTTGTGATGTCTAGGATAAAACAAATACCAACTAAGACCAATTGTGTGAAGTGTATGTCTTCATAAGAATCCGCACCAAATCTTGATTATTTGTTTGTCAAGTAATGTTTCTTGACAAGAGAATCTTATATATATGTCAAGAGGTCAGTGGGAGTCTTAAAGATCTTGAAAAGTTTCAAGAACTAATCAAGAGTAAACATATTGTTAATCACTAGCACACGACTTGAGGTTTATAATCTATTGTGTTGACATGGTCTTATTTTAGTGCCCATTACAGTTAAAGTTGACTATACAGGTGAATTCTATGAGTTCTCAGTTGAATACATAGGGAAAAGAACCTTAATCAATGGAAAGTACATTGACTTATAAGGGTGAGCTGCTAAACAACTTGGAAGCAATGGTAGGTCATTGTGCTACCAGGTGGCAAGATATTAAGATTGAACAAGTTTAGTCCATATGAGCTTGGATTTGTCACTAACCTTGTCTTTCATTATGGTTTTGACAAATTCACATGGATAGGAACACATACACCATAAAATCTAAGTGTCACAAGGTTTCTCTCCAATTCATGAAAATGATTGTAATTTTTGTTAGTGAAATTATTTGGTAAATTTTAAGGAGATAACAATTAAGGAACACATACACCATAAAATCTAAGTGAGCAAAACGCTTTCACTAAGTAGATTTTAAGGAGATAACAATTGTGTTATTTGCATTCTCAAATACGATTATGATTACGGCATCCCTCTTCATACTTCGAATTGTGAGAAATGGAAAAAGGTCTAAACATTTGAGACTTATTCTTGTAAGTTCTAAAATTGTTTAGACACACATGTGAGCTATCTAAGGAAAGGTATATGAGTTTGAGAAGTCTAGATAAAGTCTTATCAAAGCACCTTATATCAGAAATCTGAACTTTGGTAAGAAAGTCAATAAGTATTAATTTCTAGAAGTCCAGCTGATTTATGGGTACATATCAAAGCTAATAGGAGCATAAGTGTTATGCTAATAAGAATGTAATTATTATGCTAATGAGAGCACAATTATTGCGTTAATAGTTGCGAGTTAGCAATGTTAATTATAGAAAACAAAAGTTTCAATTCGCAAAGTTGCAAGATTTGAAAAGTTGTTTTGCTATAATTAAGGGAGAGGAATTCATACTTATTGACTATTTCACAAAGAAAGGACCATAGGCATACATAGTGTGCATACTTGGAGCATGGGATAACTATTGTTTTAATTCAAGTATTAAGTTGATTAATCAAAACATTATACATAAATAATGTGTAATCAATATGGTGATTAAATAAAAGGTGTTTTATTTATATTCATAAGTTTAGAGACCATACTGGATCCGATTATTCTTGTGTTTAACTTTGCATGTTTTGACTTCCCGAATAACTAGGTTATCCAAACTGTCCACAGTCGATCATACTTTGGAAGTAGGTATTGAGGCAAGACTGTCATGAATGGGTCTGTAGATTTGTCTAAAGGCATTTACGCATAGCACAAGTTTTATGCATTGTTCATGAGTACTCCTATAAGATTTGAGTATTGGATTAAACCACGCTCATCTGAATCACTTCATGGATTTTATCACGAGTTATTGTGAGACGACAATATCTTATATTCTTGAAACCAAGACATGTGAGTTGTAATTTACAAGTCAGTTGCACATTGATAATATGTAAACGCACCAGTAACTTGGTGTTATAAAACATATTGTTGTGTGTGATTTGATAAGTAAGTACAAGAAAGCATTTGAGTCAAAGTTTATCCATTCCTTTTATCCTTATAGGGATAAAAGCGATATATGTGGGCCCCTCGATGATTTAGTGATGACACCCTAAGCGCTTCGCCAAGCCTGGACTGATTTGATTTGTTCAATTAGTCAGTCATCATAAATCGGAAATCGGGAAACAACAGTTGGATAGAGAGAATGATTATAATCCATGCCTCAGTCCATATGATATCTTGTAGAATGGAGGAATATATGATCCCTTATCTAATGAACGTGTCACTAACTAGGTCAGAGTTCGACAACGGATTTTAAGAGTTATGATTGCTAGTCGGGTTATGGAGTCGTACTTGCAATAATAGTTATTAGACTTATCCAAGTGGGAGACTGTTGGATTAGGTGTCTAAGCCCATAACTATAATTGGTATGTACTTGACCCGAGAGTAGCATAGTCCATTTCGGGTTGCATATCACCACGACAATTTGATAGGATGGACTTTTGAGAAGAGGTTATTTATGATTTATTAATATATTATAAGTTCTAATATATTAATATGAAATCATATGATTTAATTCGTATTAATCAAGAGTTAATTTGGAATTAATTTAGTGATCAAAAGAGCCTAATTAAATATACAGTGACTGATTAAGTAAATCAATGATTCTTATAGTGTGGGCCAATGATTATTTAGGATGGGCGAAACCAGTATGATAGTCCATGGATAGTCCATGGAGGTTTAACCCATTGAGCCTAAGTAATATGAAAGGTCATCCAGCATTAGGGTTTGCATGGTTGTAACCCTAGTTTTGCCACATTATAAAAGGAGTCCCTAAATCACCAAATCGGCACTCTAGTGTTCTTGGAGTTCCCATAACCGATTTTAAGTGCAAGAAACTCTCTCAAAAGTCTTCATTTGTCCAAGGTGTGTTGTGAACCTTTTGAGGTGCAACATTTGAGGCACTAAGTCTTAAAGGCCAAAACTACAAGCTACAACAAAGAGGTAACTCTATAACTCAATTCTATGTTGTTTATATCAATTGTATGCTAGTTGTAGGCTTCAAGCTTTGGAAACAATATTACATGTATAATTAGAGAAAACATAGATCCAAAGCTTTTAGGGTTGTATGTGCACCATAGGATGTTGTAGTATACAAAACCCAACAATATGATCTTCACATGGGTTTTCAACATAGCCTTACTGATTCCTCACTTTTTACATATCATCAAGGCCCGAATATTGCATATCTCCTTCTATATGATGATGACATTGTTCTGACTGCTTCTTCTCCAACTCTCATTAACTCCATTATTGCTCAACTCAACACCGAGTTTTCTATGACTGATCTTGGGGCTCTTAATTACTTTTTGGGGATATCTGTCACCCGCTCGTCTCACGGCCTCTTTCTCTCTCAGAGAAAATATGCAACGTAGATTCTTCAGCGGGCCAATATGCTTCAGTGCAATCCATCTCGTAATCCTGCCGAGACCACTCATGAGTTGGGTGTCAATGGACCACCTGTGGCGGATCCATCTCTATATCGCAACCTTGTCGATGCTCTTCAGTACCTCACTTTCACTAGACCGGACATCGCCTTTGCGGTGCAGCAGATTTGTCTCTTTATGCATGACCCATGGAACCACACCTACATGCGTTTAAGCGCATCTTGCGATACATTCGTGGAACACTTGACCATGGCTTACAGCTTCACGTTACTCCTACGTCTGATCTTTGCGCTTACTCTGATACTGACCGGGGGGATGCCCTATCTCTTGCCGATCCACTTCTGGTTACCATGTTTTTCTTGGAGATAATTTGATATCATGATCGTCTAAGCTGCAAGGCATAGTGATCCCCTAGTTGGGTTCGTAATTTTCTTCGTGAGCTTCGGTGTCCACCCTCCAAAGCTACGATCATTTATTGTGATAATATAGTTCCGTCTGCATGACATCGAACCCAGTTTAGCACCAGCGCATGAAGCACATTGAGATTGATATACATTCTGTTTGTGATCTGGTTGCACGTGGTACTATTCGTGTTTTTCATGTACCGTCTTCCGCTCAGTATGCCGCATCTTTACCAATTGTCTTCCGACGCAGCTCTTTAACAATTTCAAATCCAATTTGAACGTTCGGAATTACCTACCGATCAAACTGCAAGAGGATATTAGTAGACCACATTGTATTATGTATTATGTTGTATTTAGTTATTGTATGACCCATTGTATATTTGGCCCATAATACTCTGGTATATATTCTCCTTTGGTAATGCTAATGCAAATACGAGGTACGGGAATTATGAATTAATACTTACATCCACCAGGTGACCTTTATTTAAAGTTCCATACTTGGTTTTCCTTTATGGATTGCATTTTTTGCATGTATGACTTGTAGACATTTATCAGATTTACGAAATATAATAACACCTTGGTAGTTAGTGGCCTCATAGTGATCCCCTAGTTCTTTGTCAATAACGAGAAATCTTTAGATCTTGGGTGTTTCTTGTAGTGCCTCCACAGCTATTTGCTTGGGCTCATGATTATGTTCTCTAGTGCTTGCAGAAGGTGTCATATCACATATGTTATGGTTTTTGAACTTTTTCAAGATCCACATTGCTCCCACGGCTTCTTGTACGAAGAGATTCTTCTCTATAAACTCATCTCCCTAACAACAATCACTTTATTCTCGATAGGGTTGCATAAATATTATCATATCGTTTCTTTTGGGTACCCCACAAAACATGAAACTCTAAAAAAACATTTACTAGAATAAAAATGGTATTCGTATCGTTGACCCGAAAAGCAATTAGCTCGATGAGCTAAAATAAAACACTTTTTGAGATTATTATTAATATTTGACCTCTCAAAAAACCTCGTAGATGCTCTAACTCCATGGTTGGTTCATAATTACTATGTTATTGGAGTTGTAGAACTTATTCATACTTTCTTATTTGTTTGTTTGTTTTAAGTTGTGAATCTCAAGATCATATAGATTATATTACTCCAACATGAAAGCTAATAAAACATAATATTTCTAGCTTTAGCGCTCAACAGAAAATACACCGTAATTCACATCCAAAAAGGTGGGACACATACTCACTCCCATGCTCATCATCAAGAATAATACAAACAAGTTTACACATCTACTTTACTGTTTGTCGATGTCTATACTATACTCATTCTTCTACTATCAAAATTGGTTTCTGAGAACTGCTTCATTAAGTTCACACACAGCTTGAGTCTAAACCTTTAAAAAGGTAGAGTTGTATATAACATATATATAGGAATATGTTAGACCCGAATCATACAGTAGTCGAATCTGGCTCAATTGTTGATCGAAGTCCTTTACGCATCATCATCTGGGCATAGAACTCCGCATGCTCCTGTTCACAACACAAAATATTTAATAATTCAACTTTCGATAGATTTGAGTCATTTAAAACACTTAATCTGTTTTGTTTTTTTTTTCTAGACTGAAAACATCGAGTTTATCCTTACAGCCGAGAAAAAAATCAATTTTAATGTGAGAGGAATATTACCGTTTTACCCTTTATATATAATGAAAGAGAAGTGAAAACAGTAAACACACCTTGACTGTAACTAGAACAACAGCGAGACCAGTTTCCCGTGATACATGGAAGTGTTTTCTTGCATCATCAGGTGTTACACCTGGAACAGCCTGAGGCAATGCTTTTGCCACTGCATGAATAGCAAAATCCATCAAACACGTTCAGTTCTATCGATTAAACACACCATGGAATGGAATCTCTGATATGAAAATTTATGCTCAAAATCATGTATAATAATTACCTAGATTCTCAGTATGACGTGCATCATCAATCAAGAGCACTCTGTAACTGTCACCACTACCAGTGTTTTTCTTGTGTTTTACGCTTCCAATATCTCCACCTACATGATGATCAAAACAATCATCAGCAATCTCCATTTGAATAGGATACAAGTTTATCAGCATCAATTTGAGTTATAAGTTTCGTCCATGTGGCATCATCTTATGGTTCGCTTTAGCAAATTAACAGAATTTCATGTCTAAGTCGGAGATATGAACTTTTGACGACAACTAGATATATACCTAAGGCAGCGTTCAATCATCACCACTGATTATACATCTTATCGTTTAAAACAGAAATATGGATTAAGAATGTAACATTTTGGGCAAAAACTAACACAGTTAAGCTATTCCACAAATTTAGGTCAATATTGCAGTTCATAAACGCTAATTTCGCCAAAAACATAATTAACCGAACAGAAAGAAATGGAACCTTCTTGAACTTGGGTAGCAGGGTCGAACTGAGATTGATCGAAAGAAGGTCGTTCCAACACACCAGCTCCTCCTCTTGAAGATCCAAACCTAGCCTTGATAGATCCATTTGAATTTGAAACTGAAACAGAAGATATGGATGCCCTAGTTGTAAACGATAGGGTAAGAGATTTGGGAGTTTGTGAGTGATGAAGAATCGTTGTTAGAGCCGAAGGTGCACTCGCAACTGCCATAATTTTCTTGTGATAACAATTAACAGCAACGGAATTGCTTGCTTGGAAGGGAAACGCTGAGAGAAGTGTGTAACGTAATCTCGACTGGTTATGAGGCTATTGTGGATTTGTGGTTGGTAGCTCCTTTTATAGAAAACAGTCGTCATCACAAACAATAACTTTCTGGTGACAGTTTTTTGTAATATAACAAAAATTATTAGAGTAGTTTTGTTTTTTTTACAGATTTTCACTAATTTTATATAAAAAAACGTATTGCCATAAAATGTTATATTAACGCTTTCATCTAGTTTAACATAAGCGAACACGATATTTAAAAAATACAACACAATACAAAAAATTAAAAATATAATGATATCGGATTTTTTTAAATACAAAAAGATAATAAAATTGTTAGATATATAATTAAAAATAATAAATGAATAAGAATACCATGACTATTATAGATTAAATATTTTATATTGAAAAAAATAAAATTAATTCATTAACCAAAATAATTAGATGTGAAGGTTGATTATATTAATATATTAAATGAAATATTGCTGGTTGTACAAAACTACAAACCACCTGAAAGCTGAAAAAAAAAAAAAAAAAAAAAAAAAAAGCAAAGGAAACATTTAATAATACTTAAATGATTGATAATATTGTCTAAAAAACAAACTATCCGATTATAAAATAATAATAACAAAGAAAAAAAAAACATTCTATGAAGTATTAACCTCTCAAAAAAGTCTCCGGCTGAAAATACTCTTAAATCTTAATATCACTGACTCATTGGTTTCATTCGATAGCACATCATATCCAATGTTTAAAGTTATATCCTAGAAATAATAACTTAATTATAAATCCATTTGTCAAATTAAAAACCTAAAGACTTTTAGATAATAGAATCATCTATCTAATTATAAACTTATAAAATTAACTCATCATATATGCATACTACATTTAAAAATATCTTTTAAAATAAAAATGAAGTAACACTCATATTAGACGTAATTTATTTATTATAAACAAATCTAAAAGAGTTCCGTGAGGGATCTGATCTTTTCAATTATTGTGGCCGAGGTTTTGAGTTGCTGAAAGAAAAGAAAATCTAGAAGCTTCGTGGATCAGCCATTTGACGTTTATTATTATGGTATACAATATTTATGACAAGTTTCTCTTAGCTGTATTTCAACACACACACACACAAACAACGTGACAGTAGAAACACCATCAGCATAAACATGTGTACAACACACACGCATCAATCTCTTTCCATACAAACCAAATCTAAACGTACAAAGATATCAAACATCCTCTATGAAACAAAATCAAGTGACGCACCAGTGTCAAAATGACTTATATACCCCCTCGCTTCAGTTCCCGTCTGAAAGCAATATCAATAGCTCATCATCAGTAATCGCTCCCATCATATCTCTCCATGACTCTTTCTAGGGCACCCTTCCCACCCCGTCTTTACTTGACGGAATTGCCCTCTGTATGTAACCAGATTCAGATACACGTTACCAAACCAGGTATCAATTATCATTATAAAAAATAAAAATTAAAAAAAATAAAATTAAAATTAAAAAATTAAAAAAAAAAAAAAAAAAAAAAAAACTGTCTAGATGTATAAATAATTCTTACCTTCGAGCATATATTTGGCTAATTTGTAGAAAAGATACAATGGTGAAGAGGTGCCCTACCATGGTAGTCAGGTTTTTTTTATATCAGTACCAACAGTGGTAAATCTGTAACGTAAAACCACATAGTTCATTATTTAAATGAGATCGATAGAAAATAAACTGAAATAAAAAAAAAAGTATTAGTTGCAGGTCTAGGTAAGGTCGTATAAGCAAAAAAAGATTTAAAGTTCTTACAATTGTATCCGACGAGGTATTATATATTGATATATTTTCACATTTGTATCATTATTAATATGTTTCAAAACCGAAATTGATATCAAAAAATTTGGTTAAGAACATTACCGTTTTTCAAAATACATGTTTCAATTAAAACCAACATTTATGCACCTCTACCCTTAATAGATTAGTTATTCGGACTATTGAAATATAAAATATGAACTTTAAAAATCTTTACTTATATGTATGCTTTTTTGCCATAACATTAAAGTAGTTCATTAAAAATAATTAAGATAGGTATATATATATATATATATATATATATATATATATATATATATATATATATATATATATATATATATATATATATATATATATATATATATATATATATATATATATATAAAAAGAGAGAGAGAGAGAGGTAACTTAAGTGACCTACCTTTGTGATATGTAAACTCACATTTGATACCAAACTATAGCAACAGTTCAACCATCACTTGATACTAGGATTCACATGCTACATGCAACAGCGTGCACCCTTGAAGACAACTTTTCGGCTTTCTAGAATCCTTTATTCTTTTACAAGATTTTGGATTCGAATCTTTTATCTTTAGTGGAATCAAGATCGTGAATCAAATCGAAAGACTCCACGTCATTGTATGTGATCGTATTTCAAAATATTTGAATTTGAATTTGATGTAGCAATCATGCGATATACCTCTTGTATGTTGTTGCCCTTAACTGTTTCCCACATTCTTGTGGCATTTGATGGGTTACCATTGGTGGTTTCTACTACCAACTTCTCCACATACTCGATTAAAAACAAACCAAAAAACATGAAACATGATTAACGATTTATGAGTTTTAACCTGTTAGGGTTCTAAATGTAAGAAATCACAATGCACTTTCATTGATTTGTTAGTTATATCATATGAATTTCATTTCTTCCTACTAGAGCAATGTCAACAAAAGACAAAGCGGGTTCTCTAAGTATAAGTAAAGAAACTGAGAGTATAATGCTATAAAGGGGTGGATCTTTCATAGTACAATGTCTTGACAAGAAACTTTTTGAAAGTACAATGTTGTAATAAAAAATGAAAGTGGGGTGATGCTATAATACAAAAACAAATGGAAGTATGTTGTTATTTCTTGCATTTAGTTGTATTTTGAAACAAAAATGTTTCATCGGCAATGTAGAAGAGAATCGACTGCAAGCGAAGTATCAATAGACAAACAAGGTTGTCTTAGTAAAAAGTTGATAGAGATGTTATAAGGGTTGAATGCAATAAATAGCAATGTAATTCCATTGATATTTTATTATGGTGAAACATCCCAAAAATACGGTTCAAATTTTGCATTTTAATTTATAAATAAAACCATAGTAATCCAAATCATCTCATAAAAACATAAGTGAAAATATCTCAAAACATCGTATCAATCACTGTATCAAAATCATATATCCAAATATCAGAGTAAATCATCCCAGACTAAACTTTGTGGTATGTGCGATCCAGTCATCCCGAGCTCTTCCCCTTACTAGCAGAAGTACCTGAAACCAAAACTTAAAAACATAACCACGAAGCTTAGCGAGTCTCCCCAAACTACCACATATCATACACATAATCACATAATAACATACATTGGGCCATGCGCGCTACATCTGGCCCTGCCCGACATCCCCCCCCCCCCCCCTGACATCTGACCGAAATCTGGTATACATATAACATATCAACAAGCATATAACATAAACATATAAACATTCATCGGACTTGCCCCGGCATCGGACCGAAGCCCGAAACATATACACATAACATATAAGCTAAACATTCATCGGGCTTGCCTCGATATCGAACTAAAGTCCGGAACACATAAACAAACACATGCAAGAATCACGAAGACATCAAGCATACAAACATTCATCGGGCTTTCCCGGGCATCGGACCGAATTCCGGAAACATATAACCTACAACGGGCTAACCCCAGAATCGGACCTAAGTCCGGCATACGCTATCATACATAAAAGGCCCGGCATTAGTGCCTTCCACCCATTCCTACTGGAGGAAAACTCACCTCAAATGTCGAGTGAAGTAGTTGAACGTCTATGCTCCTGCAACCGTCTCTACTCACGCCCTATACAAAACAACCCTTAGATACCATTCCTTACTTCAAGACCCCTTCATGGGTCAACCTTGGTCAAAGTCAATGTCCAAGTCAAAGTCAACGCTTAGTCAAAGTCAAAGTCAACAATCCGAGTTGACTCAACGCGTCAAGTTTTCCCCTGACTCACCGATTTCACTTGATACTCATAGTCATGATAGCACGAGCCAACTCGTCGAGTTCTACCTTGTACATAATCGGGACAAATCGACTCAACTCGTCGAGTCCCTCTCTAGACTCGCCGAGTTCCTCAGTCTGTTTGGGCCATCTTAAAAGATTAAGCCCCAACTCTTCAGATCTAAGCTTCATACTCCTCGTATCCCTAAAAATATCCTTTTAAGGGTAAAGTTTCCAACTTTACCCATTAATACCATTCCTTAACGTGTTTAGCTCAAACTATAACTCCTTAGCACTTAGATCTTGGTCCACAAGCCATCCATACTCTAAACTAAAGCCTACAAACTGAGATCTAGACCCTAAACATTACATGGACACGTAAAGCTTCCACATTTAACTCCATGCAAGGCCTTTTGGAGCTTAAAAAGCCAAAGTGACATCCTATGTCTAGCATAGGGCTTCAATGGCCATAAAGTTTGCACCTTTATGCCATGAAAGCCCTTTATAATCCCAAATCTAAAGGTATACTCAATTGGGACATCCATATCCCAAAGATCAAGTTTCTTGGACCAAAAACCAAATAAAGTGAAAATAAGGAGATCTAAGAAACTACTAAGCAAGTTAGAGACTTGATTACCAGAAAATGTTAAGGATGAAAGGAAGTCTTTGGATCTACTATCTTCTCCTTGAATCCTCAAGCTCCTTCTTCTTCCACAAGCTTCAAAACACACAAAGTTCACTCAAAATGGCTCACAAGCTCACAAATGCATTAGGGTTTCTGAAACAAGGGTTTGGGAATTAGAGGCTGGAAATTAGGCCAACAAGTGGGGATTAGGATGCTTAAATGGGGTGCAAAATCCTGAAATTAGGGTTTCACTCTAGCAGCCCTACTCGTCGATTCGGGCTCTCAACTCATCGAGTAGGTGACTTAAAACCCCGCGTTAAATCTGCTTCCTACTCGATGAGTTTGGGGCTCCCAACTCATTGAGTTTCTCTATAAAAGTGAATAATTTATGATTAA